ATGAAACGCAGAGTTCATTCTAAGTCATATTCTTGTAGCATGAGAGATAAACATACAGAATTCGCCAGAAATCAAAGCCCTAGTGCTAGGACTTTGTTTTAAGATAGTTGTATCCTGGTAGAGCAGACGCATGCAGAACTATAAGCATTGAGTAGGGGCGAAATTTTGTTTCAAGAACATTGCAATCTGCAAGCCTCTATCTGGAAAACCAGTCAGTTTTATTTTACTGTCTTATTTAATTTCGTGATTTTGTTTCCTGTTTAAATTAATTGTTGAATTACATTATTAGTGTAATACTGATTGTTGTTTCACCAACAATCTTGAAAAAGAATTTATGGATCAACAATCAGTGTCTGCTAATGGCGTTAATGGGGCTAAGAATACTCATATGAAAAGCGATGGTAGCAAAAGATGTGGTTTTATTTAACAACAATGAACTTGGCAAATGTTATCAAAGAAGAAGTTCCAGTGGCAAAAGAGAAATTACCAACAATACATGTTGAGGGATGTTCAATTAATGGACACTTTTAGGTTGGTGCATTAATTGAGAAATTACCACCATCTTGGAATGATTTCAAGATATACCTCAAGTATAAGCGCAGAGAGATGAATATGGAAGATCTCATTCTCAGGCTATGAGTGGAAGGGGATCATAGGAAGGGTGATAAAAAAAAAATGATGTATGCCTTAGAAGCCAATGCCAAAGGGTCAATCCAAGAAGAATAAGGGCAAGAATTTTAACAAGCAAGATGCTGCCCATGCACCAAAAACAAAGGATTTCAAGAAGATTAAGGGCTCTTGCTGGGTTTATGGAAAACCAGACCACAAAGAACAAGAATGCCGCCACTGAATGGACCATAATCATGCCAATCAAGGCAACAATCATGGGCGAAACAACCAGGCCAATGTGACTGAGGATTTTGTTGCTGTTGTTTCAGAAACCAATATCTGTGGTGACAAAAACATGTTTTCTAATTACCATCAGATTTGTGGTGGAGAAAAGTTGTATATGGTCAATGCCTCTGCTTCTGTAATTCAAGGAAAAGGCAAAGTGGTGCTAAAATTCACTTCTAGAAAGAACCTGACATTGCAGAATGTGTTGCAAGTTCTAGAAATTAGGAAAAACCTTGTGTCAAGCTCATTGTTGAGTAACAAGGGATTTAAACTTGTATTTGAGTTTGACAAGTTTGTCCTAACTAAGGGGGGAACGTTTGTAGGAAAAGGCTACTTGACTGATGGTCTTTTCAAAGTCAATGTATTGGCTTTTGATGCTATAAATGAAATAAATAAGACTTCTACTTATATTGTTGAGTCAACTAATTTATGGCATGCTAGATTAGGACATGTTAATTTTCATTCCTTACATAGAATGTGTAATTTAGGATTATTACCAAAATTTAATATTGATTTCAATAATAAGTGCCAAACATGTATGGAATTTAAATTTGCTAGACAAACTTTTAAGTCAGTTTTGAGAAGATCAAATGAATTACTTGGATTAATTCATAGTGATCTTTGTGACTTTAAGTCTACACCAACTCGTGGAGGGAAGAATTATTACATCTCCTTCATTGATGATTGCAGTAAGTTTTGCATGTTTACTTGATTCATAGCAAATATGAGGCTTTGAATATGTTTAAGACATATAAGGTTGAAGTAAAGAATCAACTTGAGAGAAAAATCAAGGTACTTAGATCAGATAGAGGTGGGGCGTATGAATCTCAAGCCTTCTCTGATTTTTGTACTCCGCATGGAATTGTACATCAAACAATAGCTCCTTACACACCACAAAAAAATGGTGTTGCAGAATGGAAAAATAGAACTTTTAAAGATATGATTAATTCCATGTTAAATAGCTCAAGGCTTCCACACAACATGCGGGGTGAAGCATTACTTACTGCAAATAGAGTTTTAAATAAAATTCCACATAAGAAGACTAATAAGTCTTCTTATGAAATATGGAAAGAAAGAATACCCACTTATAAAACATTGAAAGTGCGGGGTTGTCTAGCAAAAGTACAATTGCGTTTACCAAAGCACACTAAACTTGGACCAAAGAGTATTGATTGTGTATTCCTTAGATATGCAAACAATAGTGCTGTGTATAGATTTCTAGTAATGAATCTGAAATTCCGGATATGCATGTTAACACTATCATTGAATCAGTTAATGCAGATTCTTTAAGGAAATATATCCTTACAAAGAAAATAAATTTGGTTCAACTAGAAAGCGGGTCACATGATCAAAGTCATGATGAGGCTTCTTCCTCAAGAGTTCAAGAAATAGATTATAAGCTAAGAAGAGGAACAAGAACAATAGTACTAAAGAACTTTGGATTAGATTTTCTTACTTTCTTGTCTGAAAGTGAACCACAAACTTATCATGAAGCCATAACTTCACCTGAGGCTCCTTTTGGAAGGAAGCAATTAAAAGTGAAGTAGAGTCCGTTATGCAAAATAATACATGGGAATTGGTTGATTTACCTCCTGGTAATAAACCAATTGGACACAAATGGATTTTCAAAAAGAAGCTCAAAGCTGATAGCACCATTGACAAGTATAAGGCAAGTTTGCCAAAGGATACTGCCAAAAGGAGGGGTTGGATTATTTCGACACTTATTCTCCAGTTTCGCGTATTACATCTATTAGGATGTTAATAGCAATTGTAGCTGTTTACAAATTGGATATACACCAAATGGAAGTAAAAACTGCTTTTCTGAATGAAGATTTAGAAGAAGAAATATATATGGAACAACCTTAGGGGTTTGTGATTCAAGGACAAGAGAAGAAGGTGTGTAAACTTGAGAAGTCATTATATGGATTTAAACAAGCACCAAAACAATGGCATGAAAAGTTTGATCATACAATGTTGACACATGGTTTCAAAATCAATGAGTGTGATACATGTGTCTACATTAAAAGCAATGGTAATACTTGTGTCATTGTGTGCTTGTATGTTGATGACATGTTGATAATGGGAACAAGTAAGGATGTAATCAATAATACTAAGGCAATGTTGAACTCAAGTTTTGACATGAAGGACTTAGGTCAGGTAGATGTCATACTTGGAATTCAAATTAAAAGGAACAATGATGGTTATCTCCGTACACAATCTCATTATATCGAAAAGATCCTCTGAAAATTTGGACATTTCAACAGTAAATGATCAGTTCACAATTGCATATCATTTTGTACCCTTCTAACTTATGATTTGGTTATGTTATTGAGTCAAACGTGTGCTTTTAATCCCTTTTCTGTTTATCATTCAGTTAATTGGGCCTTAGGTAGCAATGGTGCCTTTGGATAAGAAAAGATGCAAAATGGTGCAAAAACGAGCAGACTGGGTTGGCAACTCATTTCGGCCTTAACGTCTTTCTCCCAACTTTGATTGGCCCATATAATATGTGCCTGGAAAGATGAGAGTCTGAACTTCAAGATGGACAACTCAAATGTATCAATTGATTAAGTCAAGCCCAATCCGTGAGCCCATCAAAATGCACACCATGCTCAGGAATGCAACTGCTAGCTGTTGAGCCATGTGCTGACAAGACAGCCTGGAAACTCAGAAGGCATGGGCAGCTGACACTCCAAGAGGTATGGGCAGCTGACATTCCTAGAGGCATGGGCTACACATCAAATCAGCAGCATGGGAACCTAATGGGCAGCTCAGACAAATGGGAACAGCTAGGAATGGGTGTGCTTCACCAGCCAAAGGGGGAGCACGAATTTGCACTTTATAAATAGAGTGATGCACACTCATTCAAGGGGAAGTCACTCCATTCAGCCTAAAATTCACTTCAGCCATCCTCTAACACTCCCATCCTTCCCCAAACACTCCACTCAGCCCCAAATCACCAAAACAGCTCCAACAAGCCTTCCTTCCATTTCCCTACGAATTTCCTCTTTCTCTGCCATCACCACTCACCCAAACTCATCCCAAATCACCTTTTTAGTTGCCATACTCTAGATGTGAGGAAGCTCTTGGAGCAGCATTAGGTGTGGAGAAGCACTTGGAGAAGCCTTGGACACCACAAGTAACTTCAGAAATGGGTTTTTCCACTCTTATTACATTCATTATGTTTTCTCATTTCTGTTTAAGTTTCATTTCCATTATGAGTAGCTAAATTCATAACTAGGACTTCGATGTAACCTAACATGAATATTCTGGGTTTATAAGTTGAAGTTTTGAGTTTCAAGTTTGATTCATGATTCATGTTCTTATTCATTATGCTTATCAGTTAATATGTTTGTTTGGATGATTGATCACCATTAGAACTTGTATATTAGCTATCTTGGTTTGAATCAAGAGTAGACACCATGCTTTGATTCGAATTGAACTATGAATAAGAAAAGTATGTATGGACATTCGACAACAGGGATTAGATACATGCTTGGTTGTTTAAATTGTTCTTCTATGCTTAATGAGTTCCTAATGTTTAATTTAGGTTAGACAACAAATGATCAAGTTAGGGAATTAGGAACACAAGGTTAGGACCAGACACCATGGCCTAATCATACTTTAGCTAGAATCAATCTTTGAATCTGAATTAGACTTGTCACTTGACTCCTTATAACCTAGAATTGAATTGTTATGGTGAATCGAATGCCCTAGTCTCCCAATCTGTTTTCCAGCCCACAAAAACACTCTTTGTTACATTTGCTCACTTTGCTTTTGTTTGAAATTTCGTTTTGCCTCTTTTGTTCAACAATTACATTCATTCTTGCTTTAAATTCTATTTTAGACTTAACCTCCTACTTTCTTGAATTTGGTAATCTAAGTACATAACTAATTTTAACTTCTCAGTCCTCGTGGGTACGACCTCGTACTTGTCTTGCTATATTACTAATTGGCCCGTACAATTGCGAGTTAACATTTAACAACAAATTTTGGCGCCGTTGCCGGGGATTGAATGAAAGTTCTTCCCTGGTTATGTGCCCAAGGTTACCCTATTCTTTTAGTAGTACTAATTAACTCAAGTTATTTTCTGTTTCAGGTAGTTTATGTCTAGAAATCCCTTACTTGAACAAGTGAGGTCTTCATTCCAACGTTCGAGATCTTTGAACACAAGACCATCTTTGCAACCAAACCGGGTGATCTCTGAAATTCAGAATCGTCTAGAAAGAGAGTTGGCAACTGCGAAAGAGCAAGCCATTGCCACATTTGAAGGTCTTGCTATCCACACTGACCTCCCAGGTTCTTCACCTTCAAATTCGGAATCAAGTTCAGACCAAGAAGAAGAAGAAGAGATGGCTGCCAATGAGTTCATGGGAGACCTTGATATCCCAACAATTCCAGCATCCCCTTCAAGCATCTTGCTGCCCACCGCAGCTCGAAACTATGAGCTTAAATCTTCTCATCTTAATATGTTGCCTTCCTTTTATGGTTTACCTAATGAAGATCCATTAACCCATATAAAGGATATTTTTAATGCTGTGAGCTCTTTTCCCTTGACAGGTGTGACGGAAGATCAACTTCGAATGAGAGTGTTTCCTTACACTTTGAAAGACAAGGCGAAATATTGGTTGAATTCTTTGAAGCCTGGTTCACTCACGACTTGGGGAGCCATTCAAAAGAAGTTCTTAGAAAAATACTTCTCCACGCAAAAACCGACATGCTTAGGGACAAGATCTTACTATTTGCACAACAAGATGATGAGTCATTTTGTGAAGCATGGGAGAGATTCAATGGGCTGCTCAATCAATGTCCTCATCATGGGATTCCATTGAAGCTTCAGATGCGTATGTTTTATAAAGGACTAACCCCCTCTAGCCATAATATTGTCACTAATTTTGCAGGTGGTTCTTATAAGACTAAGACTCCAGAAGAAACATATGAACTCTTTGAGGAGATAGCAATGGAGACCCAACACACCGATACAAGAGGTAAACGTATTGCTGGTGGTTCTAATGATTCTTCCAGTGTGCAGATTTCCAAATTGGAACAAAAGCTTGATGCCCTCCTTGCATTGAACTCAAGAAACCCTTCAAAGGAAGTGTGTAGCATCTGTGAAACTCATGATCATCCTACCATTTCTTGTCCCCTTGGGGCTGCATATCCAGAATTTGTGCAAGAGCAAGCTAAGTTGGTGAATTCCTACAACCGAGGTCCAATAAATGATCCATATTCTCAAAGTTATAATCCAGGTTGGAGGAATCATCCAAACTTTTCATGGAGGAATACACAGAATCAAGCGAATCCCCCTTCAAAGGCCACAACAATCATCATCGTTGGAGGATATAGTGAAGCAAATGGCAATCAACCAATCCCATTTCCAGCAAACTACACAAGCTGCCATCTCCAAGTTGGAAGTCCAATTAGGCCAGATAGCTACTGAAATAGCTCAAAGAGAACCTGGGAAATGGCCAAGCCAAACCGTGATCAATCCAAAAAACCAAGAAGCCAAGGCCGTTCATGTGCTCAGATCAGGTAAGATTGTTGATAACAAAGTTGGTTCTGATCTATCAAATGATGTTGTGGTTGTAGAGGATGAAGATGAAGAGGAAACCACAGCTATGGATGGAGAACAACCCAAAACGTCCCAATCTGCTCCTAAGGCCAAATCTGATTCTCAGGAACCCCAATCCATTTCAATTGCATAAAAGAGATGACAAATTTGTGCCATCGCATCTTCATCAAGATAGATACATCCCACCTCCTCCATATATTCCACCGATTCCATTTCCAGGCCGTTTGAAGAAGGCAAATCAAGATAAGGCTTTTAAAGAGATTTATGATATTTTGAGTAAAGTTAATATCAATTTGCCCTTGCTTGATGTTGTTAAACAGATTCCTGCATATGGAAAGTTCATCAAGCACTTGATGACTCACAAGCTTAATTTTGCTCCAAGTGAAGAAGTAAAGCTCAACAAGAATGTGAGTGCTGTGTTGCAAAGGAAGCTTCCACCAAAACTAGAAGATCCTGGCAGCTTTGACATTCCCATTAACATCGGAGATAAGACGGTTGGAAGAGCCATGTTGGACTTGGGAGCAAGCATCAATGTAATGCCATATTCAGTTTATCAGGAGCTTGGCTTAGAAGGGATAAAGAAAACCTCAATTCGTCTTGAACTAGCTGATCATTCTATCAAATATCCTAAAGGTATTGTAGAAGATATTTTAGTTCAAGTTAATACACTCATTCTTCCGGCTGATTTTGTAGTGATGGATATGGAGGATAACCCATATGGAAACCGCGTTGATCCCATTCTCCTCGGGCGACCATTCATGGCCACTGCAGACACAATCATCAAAGTGAAAGATGGCACCCTCTCCATGACTGTTTTGGGTGAAACTGTTGAATTTAAAGTGTTTGATGCTCTCTCTCAACCTTCTATCACTCTTGATACTTGTTTTTCAATTGATGTTGTGGATCATGAGGTTTCTTCTAAAATTATGCAGAAAAAGTCTAATGATGCTCTAGAAGCGGTCCTAACACAAGAAGAGGAAGATCTCTATGAATCAGAGTTCCAAGAGGTGATGGCTGCCTTAGAAGTGTTTCAGCCATACCCACCATCCTTTAGGCCACCGCTCGAGCCTCTTGGACCATCCTCCACAAAATTGGAGCCATCCATTATTACCCCACCAAAGCTAGAACTTAAACCTCTACCCAATCATCTTAAACATACTTATTTGGGTGCTAATGAAACTCTCCCTGTTATAATTGCTGCAGGTCTCACCTCACATGAAGAGGACAGCTTAATTGAAGTTCTGAAAGAGCATAAAACAGCCCTTGGATGGACCATAGCAGACATCAAAGGAATTAGTCCAAGCATGTGCATGCACCGAATTTTAATGGAAGAAGACAGCAAACCATCTCGTGATGCACAAAGAAGGCTAAATCCCAACATGAAAGAGGTGGTTAGGGCTGAAGTTTTAAAGCTACTTGATGTGGGAATCATCTACCCAATTTCAGATTCTAAGTGGGTGAGTCCTGTGCAAGTTGTTCCAAAGAAGTCCGGAATCACCGTTGTAAAGAATGAGAAGAATGAGCTAGTTCCAACACGAACTATCACTGGTTGGAGAGTTTGCATCGATTACAGGAAGTTAAACACATCCACAAGGTATAATCAAATTCCCATTGCTCCGGAAGACCAGGAGAAAACCACGTTCACATGCCCATTCGGTACATTTGCTTATAGAAGGATGCCATTTGGTTTGTGCAATGCTCCAGCAACTTTCCAAAGATGCATGATGGCAATCTTTTCTGATATGGTGGAACGATTCATGGAGGTATTTATGGATGATTTTTCAGTTTTTGGTTCATCTTTTGATGATTGTCTTCACCACTTGTCTCTAGTGCTTAAAAGATGTCAGGAAACAAATCTGATTTTGAATTGGGAGAAGTGTCACTTCATGGTAAGACAAGGAATTGTGCTAGGCCATGTTGTTTCAAGCAAGGGAATTGAAGTGGACAAAGCCAAGATAAATATCATCTCAAATCTACCACCCCCTTCCTCTGTTAAAAGAGTTAGAAGCTTTCTGGGCCATGCCGGATTCTATAGAAGGTTCATCAAAAATTTTTTCGAGCATTTCAAGACCATTGTGTAATCTCCTTGCTAAGGATGCTGTTTTTGAGTTTGACGAAACTTGCATGGAAGCTTTTACGACCTTGAAGAAAGAGCTAACTTCAGCCCCTATTATCATAGCTCCAGATTGGTCTTTACCATTTGAAATAATGTGTGATGCCTCTGACTTTGCTATTGGTGCAGTTCTAGGTCAAAAGAAGAACAAGCTTCCCCATGTGATTCATTATGCGAGCCGGACCTTGAGTGATGCCCAACTCAATTACTCCACAACAGAGAAGGAGTTGCTTGCTGTGGTTTTTGCTTTAGAAAAATTTCGTTCTTACCTTGTTGGTTCTAAAGTAATTGTTTATTCTGACCATGCTGCTCTTAGATACTTGCTCACTAAGAAGGACGCCAAACCACGCTTGATCAGATGGATTCTCTTGCTGCAAGAGTTCGATTTGGAGATTCGAGACAAGAAGGGATGTGAAAATGTGGTGGCTGACCATTTGAGCAGAATTGTGGTTGAAGAGCAAGGAGAAGCTGTACTACCCTTGAATGAGACTTTCCCAGATGAACAGCTATTTGTTGCCCAAGTCAAAGAGCCATGGTATGCTGATTTTGTTAATTATCTTGCTTGTGGTGTTCTTAGAAATGATCTAACTTATCAGGACAAAAAGAAGTTCTTTTCCATGGTGAAACATTATGTTTGGGATGAACCCTTTCTTATTCAAGCATTGCCCAGATCAACTCATTAGAAGATGTGTTCCAGAAGAAGAACAAGAAAGCATCCTTAGGCATAGCCACGAATTGGCTTGTGGAGGCCACTTTGGAGCTAAGAAAACAGCACTTAAAATTTTGCAATCAGGTTTCTTTTGGCCTACTCTATTCAAAGATGCATTTAATTTTTGTGTTAAGTGTGATAGGTGTCAAAGGATGGGAAACATAAGCCGCAGGAACGAAATGCCATTGAAGAACATACTCTTTGTGGAACTCTTCGATGTATGGGGTATTGATTTCATGGGACCATTCCCATCTTCCTTTGGATATACCTACATACTTGTTGCTGTTGATTATGTGTCTAAATGGGTGGAAGCCATAGCCACCAAAACCAATGATCATAAGGTGGTGCTGAAGTTCCTGAGGGACAATATTTTCACAAGGTTTGGTACTCCAAGGGCTGTCATTAGTGATGGAGGCAGCCACTTCTGCAACAAGCCATTTGAAGCACTCATGAAGAAGTACAACATCACCCACCGAGTCTCTACACCATATCATCCTCAAACTTCTGGTCAAGTAGAAATAAGCAACAGAGAAATTAAGCAGATCCTAGAGAAGGTGGTGAATAGTACAAGGAAAGATTGGGCTGCCAAGCTCAATGATGCATTATGGGCTTATAGGACTGCATATAAGACTCCCATCGGAATGAGCCCTTATCGTCTTGTGTTTGGGAAAGCCTGTCACTTGCCAATGGAGCTTGAACACAATGCTTTTTGGGCCATCAAGAAGTTGAATTTTGATCTGGACAAGGCCGGCCATGTTAGAAAGTTTCAGCTCAATGAATTGGAAGAAATTAGACATGAGTCCTATGAGAATGCAAGGCTTTACAAAGAACGAACCAAGAGTTACCATGACAGGAACATTCAACGGAAAGAGTTCACCAAAGGTATGTCAGTTCTTTTGTTTAACTCACGTTTGCGTCTCTTTCCAGGAAAATTGAAGTCTAGGTGGCTTGGCCCATTCACCGTGGTCAATGTTTCTCCCTATGGAGCTGTGGAGATTCAAAACCCTAAAGATGGCTCGACTTTCAAAGTAAATGGACAACGTTTAAAGCCATTCTATGAGGGAGTGTCAGTTGGAATTCAAACTGGTCATGTGGTGGATCATCTTCCATTCGTACAATCAAGTTAGCTAATCGCATAATGTCTTGCCAAGACATTAACTAAGGCGCTTCTTGGGAGGCAACCCATGTGTTGAAGAATAAGGTGCTTGGTAGCTGTCGACCTAATCGCATCAAGAGGGAGTTTCTCTAATCCTTGGTCTTAAACTTTCCCCTTATTATTTTCATGTTCTCACTCATCTTTGTTATGCTTTAACATTGAGGACAATGTTCAATTCAGGTCTGGGGGGGAGGTTTTCAATTTTTGTTCATTTGTGTTTACAATTTTCGTCCGCTTGTCACTATTTTTATTTTTATTTATTTTTATTATTATTTTTTTTGAATTTCATACAATCAATGCTATGGAGCTGCCATTGAGATTTTCATATCAGAAATTTTACACTTCACAAAGCTTTTGCTCTTAGAATTCTGGTGGCTAAGGTACCATGCTCAGATTATTGAAGGAGAATAGTGGAGACTACCCTAGTGAGCTATTTCGAGCCTAATTGCGTTCTTGAGAGGGTTTAAAGTGTTTCTATTCCTCATCTCTACTTATTTTCTTCAATTCACTCTAAATGATCTCATTGTTCCATTTTGATTGAATACTAAGGATGATTCTCTTTGCAGATATCAGGTGCGTGCTCTCATTCATGAATGAACTCATTGAAGTGATGCTAGGCTATGTGTGTATAACCCATTCTCTGTGCTTTCTTTTCACCCTACCCATTCGTGTGTTCCATCAGCTCTCTTGCAGCCAAACACTTCAAGCCTTTTTCTTCTATCACCCTCATAATTAACCTTGTATCTCAATCTGAGATATTTAACCTATTATAGCCATACCCTATAGCTTAGAAATATACCAAGGTGTGCCAAGATAAAGTTTGAAGCAAGGAAGTTGCTGCCACATGCCTAAATGTAAATTGGTGTGAATCTGTGCAATGAAGTTAAAGAAGAAGTAGATCAAGTCAGCAAATAAGAAAGATAAAGAGAAAGTGTTTCGGAGAAAGTGTTTCGATTTGATCTAAATGTGAAATATAAGGTCTATGCCAGATGATGCTATGAAGTTGCAGCCATATCATTCTAAATCAATGATACCTTGCAGATCAATGAAGAATGCAACCTTGGTATGTTCTTAAGTTAATTGTGTTCTTTCCAACTCTTCCATTTCCCCTAACCTTAGCCATTCATTACAACCTTGTGAAAGACCTAGCTGATCTTTGAGGATGTATTCATGGGTGCTGGTATGTATGTGTGTATCTCTATTCTTAGTATTTGATTCCCTTCATGAGATCTAACCAAATATCCTGCTTCTATTTCATATACTCACTTATGCTTGTTTGAGAGAATAAAACCATAGGTTCTGAGTGATTGAGTGCTATATGTGAGAATTAGAGTTGAAGCATGTTCTTCCTTCAAGATTTGAGTATGTTTACTTTGAAGCCGTGTGCCTTTGAGCTATAGCTTTCCACTTTACACACTTATTGATCATCTATCTTGGCAACTCTCTGGTGTTGGAGGTATGATTAAAGTTTTCTTTCATTTTCATTAGTCGTTTTCAAAGTTAGTTTTCTAACCTTTTGTTTTGTAGAGTCAGTAAAGCGTTTGTGGGTATCGTTTCTGTTAAACCCTCAGGAGACACAACTCCTCCTACTAGGGATGCCTAGAGGTTTTAAAGGCTTGTTGCATATGCTCAATGCAATCGAGTTACCCGCAGAAGTGGTTTAGTTAAACTTCTTGTTTTGTTTTGAACTTTGTTTTCTTTTGTTTTGCTCGAGGACTAGCAAAATCTAGGTCTGGGGGTATTTGATCAGTTCACAATTGCATATCATTTTGTACCCTTCTAACTTATGATTTGGTTATGTTATTGAGTCAAACGTGTGCTTTTAATCCCTTTTCTGTTTATCATTCAGTTAATTGGGCCTTAGGTAGCAATGGTGCCTTTGGATAAGAAAAGATGCAAAATGGTGCAAAAACGAGCAGACTGGGTTGGCAACTCATTTCGGCCTTAACGTCTTTCTCCCAACTTTGATTGGCCCATATAATATGTGCCTGGAAAGATGAGAGTCTGAACTTCAAGATGGACAACTCAAATGTATCAATTGATTAAGTCAAGCCCAATCCGTGAGCCCATCAAAATGCACACCATGCTCAGGAATGCAACTGCTAGCTGTTGAGCCATGTGCTGACAAGACAGCCTGGAAACTCAGAAGGCATGGGCAGCTGACACTCCAAGAGGTATGGGCAGCTGACATTCCTAGAGGCATGGGCTACACATCAAATCAGCAGCATGGGAACCTAATGGGCAGCTCAGACAAATGGGAACAGCTAGGAATGGGTGTGCTTCACCAGCCAAAGGGGGAGCACGAATTTGCACTTTATAAATAGAGTGATGCACACTCATTCAAGGGGAAGTCACTCCATTCAGCCTAAAATTCACTTCAGCCATCCTCTAACACTCCCATCCTTCCCCAAACACTCCACTCAGCCCCAAATCACCAAAACAGCTCCAACAAGCCTTCCTTCCATTTCCCTACGAATTTCCTCTTTCTCTGCCATCACCACTCACCCAAACTCATCCCAAATCACCTTTTTAGTTGCCATACTCTAGATGTGAGGAAGCTCTTGGAGCAGCATTAGGTGTGGAGAAGCACTTGGAGAAGCCTTGGACACCACAAGTAACTTCAGAAATGGGTTTTTCCACTCTTATTACATTCATTATGTTTTCTCATTTCTGTTTAAGTTTCATTTCCATTATGAGTAGCTAAATTCATAACTAGGACTTCGATGTAACCTAACATGAATATTCTGGGTTTATAAGTTGAAGTTTTGAGTTTCAAGTTTGATTCATGATTCATGTTCTTATTCATTATGCTTATCAGTTAATATGCTTGTTTGGATGATTGATCACCATTAGAACTTGTATATTAGCTATCTTGGTTTGAATCAAGAGTAGACACCATGCTTTGATTCGAATTGAACTATGAATAAGAAAAGTATGTATGGACATTCGACAACAGGGATTAGATACATGCTTGGTTGTTTAAATTGTTCTTCTATGCTTAATGAGTTCCTAATGTTTAATTTAGGTTAGACAACAAATGATCAAGTTAGGGAATTAGGAACACAAGGTTAGGACCAGACACCATGGCCTAATCATACTTTAGCTAGAATCAATCTTTGAATCTGAATTAGACTTGTCACTTGACTCCTTATAACCTAGAATTGAATTGTTATGGTGAATCGAATGCCCTAGTCTCCCAATCTGTTTTCCAGCCCACAAAAACACTCTTTGTTACATTTGCTCACTTTGCTTTTGTTTGAAATTTCGTTTTGCCTCTTTTGTTCAACAATTACATTCACTCTTGCTTTAAATTCTATTTTAGACTTAACCTCCTACTTTCTTGAATTTGGTAATCTAAGTACATAACTAATTTTAACTTCTCAGTCCTCGTGGGTACGACCTCGTACTTGTCTTGCTATATTACTAATTGGCCCGTACAATTGCGAGTTAACAGTTTAACAACAGTAAACCTGCTGCAACTCCATTTGATGCCAATTGTAAATTAAAAAAACATGTTGGTGATGCCATTTCACAATTGGAATACTTCCAAGTGATTGGCAGTCTGATGTATGTGATGAACTCTACTAGACCTTACATAGCTTACTCGATAAGTAGGCTTATTAGTAGATATACAAGCAATCCAAGACATGAGCATTGGGATGTTTTGATAACGGTGTTACAATACTTAAAGAACACCATGAGTTATGGATTGCATTATATGAGATATCCACCTGTTTTAGAAGGATACAATGATGCAAATTGGATTTCTGACAATACAGAAACCAAGTCAACTAGTGGATATGTTTTCACATTAGGAAGTGCAGCAGTATCTTGGAAATCCTCTAAACAGACGTGTATAGCACGTTCAACAATGGAATTAGAGTTTGTAGCCTTGGATAAAGCAGCTGAAGAAGCTGAATGGCTTAGAAAATTCCCTGAGGATATTCCATTATGGTCCAAGCCTGTGATTGCCATTTGCATACACTGTGATAGTATGGCTGCCCAAGCAAGAGCCAAAAATAGTGTCTACAATGGCAAGTCTGGACGTATAAGGTGAAGACACAATACGATTAGACAGTTGCTCTCAAATGCAGTCATTTCCATTGATTATGTAAAGTCCAAGGAAAATATATAGCAAATCTTTTGACAAAAGGCCTACCAAAAGAGCAAACTCTATATGCATTTAGGGGAATGGGTCTAAAGCCAATTCAATGAATCAAACTGGGCGGAAACCTAACCTAGTTGATTGGAGATCCCATGGTCTAGGTTCAATAGGCGAACTAGTTGGGGATGATTCAAAGTATTGAACACACAAAATGCCCATTTCTATGATATGTGTGTGTTGTCTGTTGATGATTGAGGGTATGCTTATGCATTTAATGACATTAATATCTTGTGATCAAGAGGAATATGACAAACTATTCTTTATCAATGTCACCTATATAGGAGTAAATGTGGGGTTGCATTTTTGAGAGTTAATATGGGTCAAACTCTCTAAGCTCCTAGGAAAATCGGGATTTGTTTAGGACCAAAATGAACACAAATGTATGAATTGACGTGTGTTCAATTTGATATGTGTGAGATATATTGTCCCGGTTTACTAATAGGGGTGAACAGTTCAAGTTCATTATATCCACGGCGTCATCCAGTAGACCCGATATATTTTCATTAGGGTAAGTTCAAGTCCAAAAGACACTTCTCTTGATGCATATCATTTCTACTCTCTCATGTGATCCAGGCATCATTTGCATTTAAATTTCCATTCAATGTGGGGTATGTTAGGAGTTTGAATACAAATTTCAACTCAAATGTGGGGTATTGTTGGTTTTGCAAGGCATTATAAATATGTTTGAGTTGAAATTAGTCCCACATTGAAAAACTATAATTCCTTGAAGGTCTTTATAAGACCTACCCTTGGAAATAGAATAGTTAGGATTGAGCTATGCAAGTGGCCCAATTGAGTGGCTTGTTGGGTTTGGCCTTTGGGTCAATGCCCAATTAGTTGGGTCAATGGTTAATTAATATATATAAATAATATATATTTAATTAGTCTAAAGATGGGCCTTGGGCCTCTTGGACTCTGTGATTTAAAATTAAACCCAATTAATTAAATTAATTTCGAGTTAATTATTTAATTAATTATTGAATTATTTTTTAAAATTCAAATATCAGATAAGTTTGTCTGATTGGGTTTGACAGTTATATGAAACGCATAGTTCATTCTAAGTCAAAAACGCAGAGTTCATTCTAAGTCATATTCATGTAGCTTGAGAGATAAACACAAAATTCGCCAGAAATCAAAGCCCTAGTGTTAGGACTTTGTTTTAAGATAGTTGTATCCTAGAGGAGCAGAAGCCTGCATAATTACAAGCACTGAGTAGCGGCGAAATTATGTTTCAAGGACATTGCAATCTGCAAGCCTCTATCTGGAAAACCAGTTAGTTTTATTTTACTGTCTTATTTAATTTTGCGATTTTGTTTATTGTTGAAATTAATTGTTGAATTAGATTATTAGTGTAATATTGATTGTTGTTTCACCAACAACAATTTCATACTTGCACCCAAAATCTACGTTTGGACACCCAAGTTGAACACTCACCCCAACCTGCCAAATTGTGAGATCCACGCAAAGAAAAATTCAGGCATTGGCATTGCGAGAATGATATATATGTTGTTTATGTTGTGTGATCTTGACCGTCGGTTGTACCACGTGTCATCACCTCAACAATGCCAACACAATAGTGGCAACACATGTCGGACCTCGAACTTTTACTCGCGTCTCGATCTGTTTGCCTGACTCACGTGTTGCCATCCTACTCGTTTATTCGATTCACACGTAACACAATTTTAATTGTTCCATTGCACACTTCAACTTGTAAATAGGCAAACCTCCTTCATTTCTACACCATTTTACAAATGGGAAAATTTTAAAAATTGTCACAAGTGGAAGAATGCAATAAATGAAGAAATGCAAGCGTTCCATAATAATGCTACATGAGAACTTGTTCGTGTTCGAAAGAGGAAAATGAACTATGGGGCGTAGATGGGTCTCCACTAGAATTGGGCATTTGGACTGGAAACCCGAATGAACCATCCAAACTAAATTAGTGGTCCGAGTTGTTTGGTTTTTTCAAACTATAGGCGCGTAGATGGGTCTCCACTGTAAAGCTTAAACTAGATGGTACAACTAAAAGATACAAGGTAGGTTGGTAGAAAAGGGGTATGCTTAAAGCAACCCTAGCGCAGCAGGCTAGCCCGGGCAAGAGAGGGCCTGAGGCGCTTTAGGCGATTCCAAGGGGCTTTTGTATCCCAGGAAAATGGTGGGGGCCACCAAATCAGGCAAGCCCAAAGGCAGATCGAGCCTAAGCTCGTGTCCACAGGTTGATGACGTCAGCGCAAGGGTTTGAATAGCCCTGCTTTCCGCCAACAGCTACAAGCCACATGGCACGTCCTGGTGTGTCTGATCCTAATTTCTCCTCCAACCCAAAGACTGCCAATTTGTGTGTAAAAAAAATTTGAAAAAAAATTTGAACATTTAAAAAAAAAACCAAAAAATTCTGATTTTTTTTTCTATAAATACCTATCAATATTCTTTACTTTCCATATCAATCTTCATACAATTCTTCTTTTTCCAATATTATTCACTTTCCACACTAAATTTTCTACTACTAAATTTCAGTCGTGTAAAAATACAAATGACCTCTTCCATTGAAGCCGAAGGGTCGTGGACAACCACGGAAGATGTTTTGTTGTGTTATTGTTGGGTCCAAGTTGGTCATTACCTGATCACGGGCAATGAGATGAAGTTCTCTCATATGTGGAGAAAAATTCATGCCAAATTTTGTGGAAGATTGGGTTCGGCTCGTACGACAGTTGGGCAATTCTTCTACTGCCCATACATGCAGTCGATGCTTCCAATCATGCTTGGGAAACCTTGAGCCTTGGCTTTTTGTAGAAGCCTTTGGAGGTCCCTAGGCATAGGTTTACGGAGGTAATCCCTCGCGTAGAGAGTTTCAATTGCATTACAGAATCTGATCAAGCTCTCTAGGACCCCATCCTAGCAATCTCATCTACTTGGTTTGCAGATGTGCCAAACGCTAGCATCCATAAAGAAGCTATAGGTTTTTATTCCAGAAGAAGACCCAAAACCCTAGTAGCATCATACTTCTGAACGAAGTATGTGTCGTAATTGCAAACATCATGCATGATTTTATTGAATAAATGGGGTTGCATTATATATCGCCCTAAAAATCAAAACTAGAGTACAATGAATTTGGGATAAAGTAATCTTCCAAGATATTCTTACCCTCGAGAATGCCTACGTCTGTCCATATTTGGGCCACAGCCGACTTGTGAACCACAATGGCCTTGGCTTGATTGATGGAGCATACCCACTGTCATGGCAACTTGATCATCATCTTCTTCCTTCTCCCTTTCTTCTTCAGCTGGTTTGCGCCTTCTTTCTTCATTTTCTCACTCTTGCCTCTCCAACAACCTCCTCGTGTAAAACATTGAGAGTAGAATGTGTTTTCTAAAATATGATAAATGAAAGGATAAAGATGATATGATGTGAGAGGTCTAAGTTGAGGCTGTAGTTTTATAGAGGGATTTATAAGATAGAGATGACACATGGTGCAATTTTAGAGGGTGAAAATCTTATCTGAAATATGAGATTTGTATTTTATAATAAATATCGACACATGGCAACCGAGAATCTTATCTAAATTTGAAATGTCAATTTTATAATAAATATGGGCATGTGGCAATCGAAAATCTTATCTGAAATATGAGATGTGAATGTTTATAATAAATATTGACACGTGACAACTGAAAATCTTAACCAAATTAATCATTTAAGTGTGTGTACATATATATATATATATATATATATAAGTGAATAGTAATTGCCCTTTGCCATGGCAATGAATGGAAACACAACTTGCCTTTTGCAAGGGGTGTCACTATTCACATGAATAGTAACAACCCTTGCTTCCCCTTACCATTTGCCATGGTAAATGGGTGGAAATACTCTTAAAGCACCTTCACCACAAAGGGTAAGGGCAAGGCAAAGGCAAGGCAAGGTTTTTCACTATTCACGTGAATAGTGGCAGTCTTGTCTTTTTTCGTTCCACCCTAAAGGGCAAGGGCAAACACTATTCACTTTAATTTATTTTCTATTTTGTATACTTAAACCATTAATTTTGATAAGATTTTCGGATAAAATTTTTGGTTGGCACGTCTCACTATTTATTATTCATCTCAAATTTCATATAAGATTTTCGAATTAAATTTTAGGATAAGATTTTCGATTGCCACGTGTCCATATTTATAATAAAATTAACATCTCACTCATCATACAATTGAAATACCTACTTACTCATCATACAATTGAAATACCTACATACTCATTATACAATTGAAATACACCCGGTTCTCATAGTCCGACACAATTGAGTACAAGGACGACTCAATTATTGGCGGAGGCGGTTCCACCGGATCACGACTGGGGGAGTATTTTCCTTTGGAGGATGTAATAGTGCCATTATTTTTGACATGGAACGCACCACTGGAACCAACTGTGGGCATTGTTCACTTGAGGAGCCATGTGTAATGGTTTTCCTTTTTTTTGTTTTGTCTTGAATAATCTATTAAAAAAATAAAATTGGAAATGCAATAAACATATAATTTTTTTAAAAAAGATATTAAATTGAATAAAACGGTAAAAATTTTTTTTTAATCTCGTCGCCAAGATTTTGACCTTTTCGAACGTTTGTCCACAACCCTCCCGCTTCGATGGAAAAGGCCATTTGTATTTTTGCACAAATGGAATTTTGTAGTAGAAAATTTGGTGTGAAAAGTGAATTTTTTGGGAAGGAGATGAATTTGTATGATGATTTAGTGTGGAAAGTTAATAATATTGGTAGGTATTTATAGAAAAAAAAAGTTTCGAAATTTTTTGATATTTTTTACAAAAAATTTCGATTTTTTAAGCCAAAATTGGAGAGCCGTTGGATTGGATAAGATTTTTGGATCGGAGGCTTCAGGAGAAGCCACGTGGCTTGTAGCCTTTGGTTTATGGCAGCTGTGGGTCAGTGCTGATGTTAGCCTCTGATTTTCAAAATTTTTTACTGTTGGTGTGTGTATTGCCAATAGTTTTTTTTGTTTTTGTTATTGTTGTTGTTGAAAATCAGCTGCTAACGTTAATGTGACATCACACTGACATCAACAGCATTCAGACAACAGTCCAATCAATTCTTGCCCGCGGGCTTGTCTGGGCTGGTGGGTCCCACCCCTTGCCATGGCTAGACCTTGCGCGCTAGAGGGAGGGTTTGGGGCCTGGAATACCATTTGCCCTGATTTGGACTTGCGCTGGAGGTGCTCTTAGGTGCAATACTTAGGTGCATTCAACTTGTTCACCCCATTGTGATTAACAAATTTTCTTCACACACATGAGAATCATAATTATTTATTTCCTACATCAATCAAATTAAGTGTTTTGATCATGACATGTGTATTGCACAGATTTATTAATCACAATGGATGGACAAGATTGCACGTAAGTATTCTCCTAAGAAATAATCAATTTTTCCCAGTGATCATTCTACTTATGAGCTTACTACTTATGATGACTTTGTCGATAGTTTATAGAGTCTTCAAAAACACCGAAAAGACCCTTGACTTGCATATCAGAAGTCTCAAGTTCGAATGTCATGGTATCTTGATTATGTGTGTGTGAGAAACCCCCATCTCCTCTAGTTTAGACTATTACTAAAAAAGTATTAATAATAAATTTAGGGTTTTTATGTAAAACAGGTTCCACATATACTCGTTTCTATTTGTGATTGGTGATGGGGCCCCATTTTTCACCAAAAATGACTACACATTAAAACCGCTGTATTTAGGTTAAATAAAATCCATTATTTATTGTAGCTGAATATGGATCCCCTATAAATGTATCAACCAACAAGCCCATACTACCAAAACTGAAATGGCTGCAACATCTTCCAGACTTTTCTTCTTAGCCCTCTCCCTCCTTGCTTGTTTTCCCTTCTGCAGTTGCCATTGTAGTAGTGTAAGTAATAAAAATGCAGAGGGTGGGATGATGAAAGGGATGTTTGTGTTTGGAAGTTCCTTGGTTGACAATGGCAACAATAACTTCTTGCCAAACTCTCTTGCCAGAGCTGATTACTTGCCCTATGGAATTGATTTTCCTCTTGGGCCTTCTGGAAGGTTCACAAATGGCAGAAATGTTATTGACCTTCTTGGTGGCCATCTTAAGCTACCTTCCTTGATCCCAGCTTTTGCTGACCCCAAAACTAGAGGAAGCAAGATTGTTCATGGTGTCAACTTTGCTTCTGGTGCTTCTGGTATACTGGATGATACTGGCTCCTTAGCGGTATGCCAATTTACTTCCTCTTTATCATTATCATCATCTTCTTCTTTTTATTATTATTATTATTATTATTAGTTTCTACTTCTTCCTCTTGCACTACACGTATCACCCTGAGTTCATGATGACTGTTATATATATATATATATAATATTTCAACAGTCCAAACCGTACAGATTAAAACACGTAGTTATTATCAATAAAATAGACAAACATAGTACTTTAAGAAAATACTAAAACGAAAACTGCTTACTTAAGTAGTTAAATAATTTCGAATTTGAGTAAAATACAACATAGACGGAGTTCTACAGAGATTATTTGAGGAGAAAAAAACTCTCTTTAGCAGTAAAAACGGCCAAATTTTGCTATTAGTAACCCAGAAACATTCTATATTAGCAAAAGGAAAAAACAAAAACACAGAGATCTTCCTTAGAAATAAAATGTGATGTGACTGAGTCAATGGCAATAATGATCCGTATTCCAGCTGGTGAAGCTTAATTTGTTGGTTACCTGTTCCTTCGGAAGTGATGTGTGAAAGTTACATTTTTTTTGTCGTAGTTGTTGGATATGTCTATCACAAAAGCCAGGGATCCTATATACTCTATGAGCCAACCTTTTACATGCATAATACTATTTTAAATTCTATATATGGGTTAATAATGTTCAAAGTTCTAGATTTATGTCATGAAACATAAATTTACATTCGTCGATTTAAAGTCTGACAATATATATATATTTTTTAAGTGCAGTATTATTTTGATTATTTTTTATTTTTTTAAAAGAGCAGTATGACTATAATAAGTAGGGGATTTGAATTCTAGTTGTTATATTATATATATTATGTTTTCATGAACCCAAATTAAGCAGAAACTAATGGCTAGCATCTGATCTGACCATGTGTAAGCTAGCCATGCCTAAATTCAATTTGTTGAAATGGGGTTTTTGCAATTTTCAGGGCCATGTGATCAATCTGAACCAGCAAATTAGAAACTTTGAGGAGATAACGTTGCCAGAGTTAGAAACCCAACTAGGGTGCAGAAGCCCTCAGTCACTTCCCAACTACTTGTTTGTGGTGGGAACTGGTGGAAACGATTACTCATTCAACTACTTTCTGAGGAGCTCCAACCAAAATGTCAGTCTGGAAATTTTTACTGCCAATCTAACCGCCTCTTTGTCCAGACAACTAAAGGTGTGTATCTTCAACATCCCTATTGATTTTCATAAAATTGATGTTCTTTTAATAATATTTTCACACAAATTCAATTATGCAAGAAGATTGAGTACATGTAATTGAAATTAACAACATTTTGATGACATGATTATTTGTCATAACGAAACTAAAGTTACTCGACCACGAAAACTATTTTGGAAATTAAGGTACTCAAATGCAAATTGGGTCTAAATTCAGGAACTAATAAAACGATTAACTCCAAAAAAGTAAGTATAGTATAGTACTGTGTGATATAACACGTCAACCATACCGTCTACTTATATTATAACTCGAGTATATCATTTCGCGTATAGACTCCCGGTTCAGTAGGTAGTAAATGATTTGATCAGTAGATGGTGGTATTTATTATCATATGTCTGTTCCAATGCCGGGAACAACGACTGAATCATCACGAGGCAAACAACACACACCACACAAATGAAATCTTTCCGCGATTTGCTAGAGTTTTGTATGAATATATAATACAACCTGAACCTGTTGGATGAACATGGTTCCGTGTAAATTAATGTAAATGTTTTATGACTTTTCCTTTGATGGTAAAAAGACTTGGTTCATTTATGATGAGGGTGCCATGCCACTGCTTTAGGTCATTACCATTGTACGTCTCAGACAGAGGTACAGTGAAGCAATTAATAATTGTTGGTAGATATGTAGACATGCATAAAGGTTAATTACAGGTCAAAGTCTTTTATGCAAAATACGTATAGAACATCAGAAGCAGGAATTGAATAAAAGATTTGACCTACCTAACGTTCATGATCAGAAATCTAACATAATATATGCAAGATCTTTCGGAAATAAAATATTTGACAAGTTAATTGCATGACATGTCATTTTCTCTTTAATGCATAATATGTCATTTAATTAACTATTTAAATAATAAAAGTTGCCAACGGGTATAGCCCAGTAGAAAAAGGTCTTGACTTGCAAATTAGCGATCTCATATTCAAATTCTCATGGTACCGTGTTAGTGCGTGTGTGAGAAACCCACCTCCTCCTGTAAATCATACTATCACTTGTATTAAAAAAGAATAAAAGAATTTTAATCCTTTTTCTCTGTGTGTGGCTCAAGTCACTTAAGTTAAGTGCCAATCTTAATTTATTTATTTAAAATTTATGATGATACAGAAGTTGCACAGTTTGGGAGCTCGAAAATTTGTTGTGATGTCAGTAAATCCACTTGGGTGCAGTCCAGTGGTGAGGATGAACAGACCAACACACAACGGCTGTGTACAAAACATGAACCGAGCAGCTCAACTTTTCAATTCCCACTTGAAGTCTTTGGTGGATGTGATTAGGGCAAAGATGCCTGGCTCTTCTCTTGTATTTGTCAACTCCTACAAGATCATCAGGGACATTATCAAAAACCCTATCTCCAAAGGTATATAAACAGATCTCTATTGGCCTCTTCACATTAAACAATGGAAAAGAAGAGAATTCTTAATTATCTATTTTAAACAATATATCCCCGAATAATAGGGTGTCCAAAATATAGTTTTGCATGCATGTATAAAATACATTTCACCAAACTAGCTGTAGATTATCTTTATGCTTGCCGTGGCATGCAAATTTCAAATTATACGATAAAAGTCAGGGTGACAATGGTGGAGCGAGGATTTTATGCAATTAACACTCGAAAGTTTAATGATATAATCTTATTAAGCCTATTACCTACAAGAGTGTGAAGTTTTGTTTTTTTTTTTTTTTTTTTTTTTTTTTTTTTTTTTTTTTTTTTTTTCGTACGATATCGTCGTACGTTTTATTATATTAATGTAAATTGGCAAACATTTATTGGTGATAGTGGGGTCATATGCTGAATATATAGTCATTTTCTTTTACATCTTGTATGTTTTTTTTTTTGGGGGGGTGGGTGGGGAAGGGTGTGTCTGGGGCGGGGTGGGGATGGTGGGTAAGGCCCACTTATGGCCTACGTATGGCTACTGGGGGTTGAGGCGGTTGCTTCTTTGGGCAGCATGATTGCAAATCTTCATTAATTAGCATGTGCATGATAAATTTATGGTAACAACGTACGTGTGACAATGCAAGTTTTCATGTCAAATATATTAGTGCAAAAGCATATATGCCTTATGAATCGAAAGCATGTAAATTATAATTGAAAATTCCATGGGTTACAGGATTCAAGGATTCTAGCACTTCCTGTTGTGAAGTGGCATCAATATCTGAAGGTGGAAATGGAATTTTATGCAAGAGGGGAGGCGAAGTGTGTGCAAACAGAAGCAGTCATGTGTTCTTCGATGGCTTGCATCCAACGGAAGCTGTAAACATTCAAATAGCAGCAAAGGCCTACGTCTCTTCTCTTAAAACCGAAGTTTATCCCACCAATATTGCACGAATGACCAAATCCAAACTCTAGGGTTCTTGGTATGACCTCTGTTTGCTACACTTAGGTTTGAACTCTAAAATATAGTCTACCAAGTTGGCTTCGGAACATAGTAGGAACTGACAAGTCCAATGGCTTTGTAATGTGTACTTGTGTAGGTTGTTTTCTGGTATGTTTGCAATAAAAATGTATCGATCGTGCATTTGTAATACCAAGTTGGCTATATTTTAGATTATAGTGTGCACGGCCAAGAACTGACTAATAATCAAGGGTTAATGACCTAAATAGTCCCCCAACTATTGCGGAATTATCATTTTGGTCCACCAACTAAAATTTTCAATTCAAACGTCCTTAAACTTTTTATAATGTACCAAAATCGTCATTCCGTCAAAGTCTGTGTATTATTCCGTTAAATATACTCACCTAAAAATACGGTTTTGTCCCTCGATTTAACGGAATAATACACAGACTTTGACGGAAGGACGATTTTGGTTCATTATAAAAAGTTTAAGGACGTTTGGATTGAAAATTTTAGTTGATAGACCAAAATGATAATCGCGCGATAGTTGGGGGACCATTTAGGTCATTGACCCAATAATCAAATAACCGAAATTGGGTGGGGAACTGGCACAATATGAGTTATCAACTGGAAATCCCAAAGGACAGCAATGTGTGTCAAATCAGAATTGAAATATGTACTGATATTTTTGTTTTGGTTGATAGTCCATTCTGTTTGATGATTGGACGCCGCTGCACAAGAACCTGCCTATTAAATTTTTAGTGAGGAACAAATGGTGTGGAGCACGCCACACCTCTGCATCCCATACCACTTTCTCATGGACAAGTCAGTCTCAGTCAACCTCACCATGCTGCCACTTGCTTTCTCTCCTTTGGTACGCTCCCTAAAACCAATAAAAGTGGTCAGCAACACACCCATTAATATTTTCTCCAGACATGCTTCAGTGTCTGATAGATAAGGCTAGCCTATACGAGTTTGAATGCTTCAAAATTCAGCTATGTTATACTAGACATCATTGTAATAAATTTCATGAACAATTCAACTTCATCTAGACATTGCATATATATGAAAGAACATCTCCGCACTCGGAGAACTAACAAAACTTAAGATTCTTAACACGAAAACAGCGTATTATGAGAAAGACTTCAATTTCCCTGAAGAACCGTCAGTCAAGATTATAGCACCAACTAATAACATATATAGAGAACTTTTTTCAAACGAAAATGACAGAGATCTGCATATTTTCATAACATGTGAAACAATACAATACTTGATAAACTTGAATCTTATATTCCCCAAACATCTGTCCATTTATCCCCATATTTTCTGCCAATATGTCAATTCTTTTATTTTAATACGACCAATATTTAAATCATGCAAAAACAAAAATTGAAAAAGAAAACCTGACCAGCCAACAACCTTTGCAACTGAACATTAGGGAAAAAAATTATGGCATTATTGACGTGAAGAGATAGTACAAGAGGGAAAAAAATTGGGGGGATCTGACCAGCCAACAACCTTTGCAACTGAACATTAGGGAAAAAAATTATGGCATTATTGACGTGAAGAGATAGTACAAGAGGGAAAAAAATTGGGGGGACCTGACCAGCCAACAACCTTTGCAACTGAACATCTTTGACAAGAAATCCTTATTAAATCAAAACCAACATAAAGATGCAGAAACATACTTTTACAAGGAACAATTTGTTGCTCAAGATGCTAAATATTCTGGCTTGCATCATTATCATTCTTTATTAAACCAAAAAGAAGAAAGAAAAACTAGCACAATGATAAACTCAGAAAGCAATGTACTCAGAACAAAGAAAAAAAAAACTTCATGAACAAGCACATACTTTGCTAATGTTTCCAAGATATCTGCATGTCTAGGATTGCATCAAGAGAGACAACTATATCCACATTGGAAACCTCATCTATAACAAATTAGAAAGTAAAACTTAAAAGAGATTCCCTAATAATAGCAAGATTCTAAGTTATCTATAACAAATTAGAAAATCCTGTTGAGGTGGCTCTCAATGAAAGCATCAATTTGTGGGATATGAAATCCACAAACACTTCGAGATGTCTCATTTAAAAGAATGCAACTGAGGCCTTTGCACACCAACCTTCTCAATGGTTCCTATTGATCTCAAAATGTGAATCTAAGTCAATAGGTCCTTTGTATCTTCACAGCATTATAAAAGTACTAACTTATCAACCCATGGTATAAGCCAAGAAATTTAACTTATCGTCACCTCCCATGCACATGCTCAAAGATCTCATCGTCTTCGAGTGGCATATATAGATCCCTCTAAGCCAAGTAGGAAGTATTTGAAACAAAAAAACAAAAATGGATTATAGCATCCAAGACATCACTATAGAAGCTAATACAAAAAGATCACGGCACAAACCTTTTTATAGAACTTTTAGAAATGATTGTGATACATTATGTTATTGAAATTAGCAGTTTCTTAAGAACAATGTTAGCTAAGCCTAAAGAAAAGATAACAATTCATTTACTGTATGGAAGGTCACAAGAAAACTTATTAGAACAATCACTAATGGAATTTTCACACTCCATTTTCCTTTTCAATTTAACAAAAACAAAAAGTATCTGTAATATAAAATCTTTGGCAATTTTACCTGAAATAGCCATGATATAACCCTTATTGAAGAGATGACGAAGGCAACATAATATAGAATTAGAAATTTGCTATTGTACTAAAGAGTACAAATCGTGTATAAACTAAACAGTTGATATGTTCTTTGTTTACACAGCTTATAGCATAATTTGAAACTTGGTAGCCAGATAAACTCAGCAATAAACAAAGTAATGAAACTTTGATAAAAGAATAGAACATGTAGTAGAAAGGCTAACAAAACTGGTCATAATCAACTGATAATTATAGCTCCTTGAAATTAAATCCAAAGTGACAAATATAACTTGTTTCATCATCAAGGACAACTATTAACTCAATCCACCATCTAAATACCTTACAAACACTTACTTAACAAAGCCTACCAATAACCAAAGAGAATTCAACCTATGCCAGAACATTAATACATCAAAAATCCATCTTAAACATCAATTTCTTTTTTAATAGAACAAACAAAACAACTTCTTATCAGTCAATGAGTCAAATTAAACACAGTAACATACTCTTTCTCTTTCTTGGTGTCTGCATTCTAGCGCTGAATGTTAAGCATCTGCTTAGCCTCAGTCTGCTCCTCCAACAATCCATCACTAGTATACTTGCTCAGCAGCTCCTTCTTCTTCTTCTCCAGCACCATCTTCTCAATCTCCTTATCGTCCGGCAACGGCACGTGCACCACAAACTCTTTCTCCCTCTCACTCCTCTCTTGTAATTCCCTTTCTCTCTGCCTCTCCTCCTCAACCACCTCTTCTTCCTCTTCAAACAAAACCTCCTTCGCCTTCGCCACCGACACCACCTCCCCACTCTTCACCGCCCTCCTTGCCTCTTTCCTTATCTCCTCCATCCGTTTCCACTCCGCCACGGCCTCCGCTCTCATTTTCTCTTCCGCCGGAGCCTCAACCTTCTCCAGAACCCCATCCTCATCGTCCCTATACCCATAATAGCTCGCATCAATCCTTTTGTATATATCGTACCTCGTCCTCCGCTTTCTCAGCTCCGGCGGCTTCTCGAAAAGCTCTCTGACTCCCGGCAACTTCTTCGCCGCGCCGAAATACCGATACCCAGGGCCTCGGCCGCTAGGGTTTGGGACGTCGATGATGTTGCCATCGAGGTCCGTCATCTTAGGGGCGTGTTTCGCATAGTTAGGGCCTCCGAGCTCAACAATTCGTCGTTCCCAGTGAACCTTCTCCCGTATGAGCTTGTTGATCTCGTCGTTGAGGTCGCGGAGGCGGTGCTCGCCAAGCCCTTCGTTTTGGATCTCGGCGACTTTTCGGCCAATCTCTCCCATGATTTGCTGCCGCCATTTGGAGGCCTCGGCAAGGTCCCGGCATTCGGAGGCCAGGTATGGACGTCGCTCTTTTGGCTTCTTCTTCTCTTCGGCTTTGAGTGTGATGAATCGATTGAGCATCGACTGCGCTTTCTCTTCGTTACGAGCCATTGCGATTTGCTGCGAATTATTCAAACAAGCGTTGGGGAAATTCCGTTAAACCCTAATTGACCAGTGTATTTGGAATTGGGGCTTTTTGTTTTGGTTGAGAGTCCACTCTGTTTGATGATTGGACGCCGCTGCCTAAAACTCGGTTATCAAATAACCCACATGCTATTCAAGCAAAACGAAAAATGTACAATTTTTCATAATTTTTTTTTACCTTGAATCGAAACTGAAAACTGGGTTTTGTTCTATACAATTTTACATGTAGAAGAAAACCAAGAAACAGTAACAGGTGAAGATGAATACCCAATTCTTGAATTCTAGCCTTTACCAAGAGAAACACCTCAAACTGATTATCAACGAATCACAGGAAAATTGATCCACTAATTCGTTGAAGGTTTATGAAGAAAGCAAAGAATTTTACAAGTGAGTGACACGAATTCGCAAAAAAAATTCAGTATTCATATCTTTCAATTGAATTATTGTGTCACTTAATACTAGCACATGACAATAAACCAAAATAAGTAGTGCATAACTGAATTTCCTAATAAAACCTAGAACTTCTATTTATAAGTATAGCCTAAATAGATGAAAATGTTGCAGAGGACTTGTAACCCAAGTGGTTAAGAGCATTATTACCCATCTAAAATCCTAGTTTGATTCCCATTTCCCCTAATATACTGTATTACGGGCTTGTTTGGTTCACATAATGAGGTTTTAGGAAATAAAACTCTCACACCTGTTTGTGGGAGATAGAAATGAATGATTTTTTATTCAAGTGTTTGTGCTGGAAATGATAACCAAGAAAGGCCTTCCATATACATTTTCATGTTTTGTTTGTATAGTAATAGGAACAAAGTTGTATTAGTTTCTCAATAATACCATTGTTAAATAAAGAAGTGCCAAGGACTTTAAAAATAGAAATAGTAATTTATAAATAAATAAAAAGGAGATTTACTATTATACCTAATATATGAGTAAAATTATTTATAAAAAAAAACCATATATGAAATGGACTTTAGAAATACACCCAAAACTCATTTACAACATAACAAAGAGGCTTTTAACTTCTTATAAATTACAAAACTATCATCGATTTATTAAACAAGTCAAACCCCAAAACATCATTATAAAAAAATCCAAAACACTCAATAGGGCATCAAAGTAATTTAATAATCAAAATTAGATTCAATAGGGTTAGCTGTTATTTTTTGAGTTTGTTTATAGAAATTAAATGGTGTAGGGTTTATCTATATCATTAATGCTAAGAATAGGTATATGACTAAATATCTCTATAAAAAATTGATGGAGTTAGTTTCGGCATAAAAAAATGCAACGAATGCTTTTTGAAAACATGTGAAATCCATACCCGAGATAGGTGCTATGGGTTTCATTTCCCTCCTACCATGGTTTTATTGAACCATGAAATTGGAATTAATATGATTTCAAACTTATCATGCGTATATTAAAATATGGGTATTTAAATTATTCGTATTCTTGGTTTCCTCTACATTTAGTAACCCATAAAAATCTAAAAGTGTGCAGGTTCTATATTATAATTTGTAATTCAATAATTTTAAAATTATGCATTAGATTTATTATTAGGAGTAGTTGATTCTATTCTCATTCATTCTCTCTCGGTGATGTTATCCATTTTAAATAAGTTATAAGACATATTACATTCTAAAAAAATACACTTACAAAATATAAGAATGAATTTTTACACTCCAATAACCAAACCTGCCCTATGGTAGTATAAAAACAATTATTAAAAAAACACTACTTGTTGGAAATAGAGAACGGGTGCTTAAAGGCTTTTCTAAGCTGCAGACAAGTCGTGGTCAAATTATGTCACTAATCTTGAAGCTTGACTGACTAATGATGAAACTTATTTATATTAATCAAAGCATCAAATGCTAAAGTCAAGGCTGAGTTTGCACCAAAGCTTTTATTAGTGGATTCCACGCACCATTTGCCAGTTCAGTACACAAATTTTGTTTTCCCTGCTCATGAAACTGGTCAGTGTACACACTTTCTATGATATTTGCTTTGGTGTGAACTCTCTTCAGATCTTTTATGTTGATCAGCTTGACTTGTATTCATTACATGTCAAAGTTAGGAATGGTAAGGAGATTTTCTCAATCACACACAGTACTAAGGTGTCATGAAAGTTCAAACTTGAGACCACTGGTCTGTAAATCAAGGCCCTAGCTAGGCTCATTAACAACGATTAAGAGTTGACACGTCACATTTATAAATTGAGTGGGGAACTGGCCCAATACGAGATCTTTTCTATGCCTAAAGCAGAAAGGACTTCAATATTTCTCTAGTACGAAAAGTAGAAACCAAACCAAGCCTGAACAAACAAAGAGCTAAAAAATAAACAGTAGATAAAGTGATGAAGATTTCTTGATTCATGTAACTTGAACTTAGATCGGACAGCAAGAATCATAGTTGAGAGACTGCTCGTCACAGGAGATCATACCAGCAAAATGTGTGGCAGAGCAAGAAAAATAAAGAACTTTGTCATGAGTTATCAACAGGAAATCCCAAAGGAAAGCAATGTGTTTATCAAATCAGAATTGACATATGTACTGATATTTTTGTTTTGGTTGAGAGTTCACTATGTGTTTGGGCCTAAATTAGCATGCCCAGCCCAACAAGAGGAAACCCAAGATCCAGAAAGGCCTAGCCCAAACCAGACCAATAGACTCGGGCCTTAAAAGAAAATCACCTCTTGGGCTCCAAACAAAATAAGCCCAACACGATTTGGATAAAGAAAGCGACCTATCCTAGAACCCACGTGACATCTTTGTATTATCAGGTTTGGAAAAGTCAACAAAACCAACTAGCACAGAGTTGATAAATGGAAGGGTCAGTGGCTGGCAAACTGGAAGAGACACCTCTGAAAATCTGAAGATCAAATCCCTCTTACATATATATATATATATTCAGAGATTTTTTCTACTTTACAGAGAAGGTGATTCTCCCAAGAGATAAGCAAGCTACAATCTCAGAAAGAGATAAGCAGGAAAGCAGGGAGTTGTTCAAACTGAAGAAATCAAACTAACCATCACGGATGAAATCTCACAAGGGGCAGTTAAAATTGGGAAAGGAGATTAGGTTTTCTTTTAAACAGAGAAGTGATCTTAAGGATTGATTGATGAGAGCCTATCTGACAAAATTTAAACTCTTCTCTCTTGTATTTCTTTCTAGATTTTTAAAAGATTTGCCGCCCATTATTTTAAGAAAGAAACCCTAAACCTAAACATCTCTTATAAATAGAGGAGAGGGTGAACAGGTTCAAAGACACTCAATTCAACAACAATCAATAAAAAACGATCAAACAAACAAACAACTCAAAAATCAACCAAAAAGCCCACTTGAATTCCAAGTGAACCAGCTTCAAATCAGAATTCCCAAGGTTCAGACTTAGAAAAAAAAGTCAATCAAAACGAGATTTCTCTCGTTACAAATTTGGTTAAGCAAAGAATCAAGACAGGTAGAGCTTGAGCTTTTCCCAAACATGAAAACCTCAACAAATTTCACAGTGCAGTCTCTAGCCCACTGAAGTCCTCGAGAACAGCCATTTCTGCCCTTGTAGACTGAAGAAACTGCAATTCTGCCCACTCAAAAGCCTCACAAAAGCTTGAAGTACATTAAAGCTCTGCCAGAATTAACCTTTGATATCAATTTACAGTTGAAGTTGTCAACAGTCCAGTCCAGCTCAGGCATTTCCAGCCCAGCCCGGATCAGAGCCTCTTATCCAAACAAATGAATTTCCGGCTGTCCTTTCATCTTTCTAGCATGGATATTTATTTTTATAGTTCTGTAAAATGCAGTTCTGCCCGAGACAGTTTAAATTCCATCAACCATTCTGGCCAGAACAACCTCTTTATACTGAGATAAATTGTTAAAGTCCTCACCAGTCTGAGGCAAGAAAAGAACTTACTTGGGAGATATTCCTCACCCAAATTCACAATCGTTTGTTTGTAGAAATCAGTAACTTGGGGCGCAAGTTATCCATTCTAAACTAAGTCTGCTAGAATCTTCATTGCTAACAGTGGCACGCTCGCACACCAAAGAAAGCTGACTTGTTGACCAGTCAATGGTTCACAAGGCAGTGGGGAGCTTTACCCTTCCACCACATGAGTAAACGCAAAACGGGTGAACACTATGTTTGATGATTGGACGCCGCTGCACAAGAACCTGCCTATTGAATTTTTAGTGAGGAACAAATGGTGTGGAGCATGCCACACCTCTGCATCCCATACCACTTTCTCATGGACAAGTCAATCTTAGTCAACCTCATCATGCTGTCACTTGCTTTCTCTCCTTTGGTACGCTGCCTAAACCAATAAAAGTGGTCAGCAACTCACCCATTAATATTTTCTCCAGACATGCTTCAGTGTCTGATAGATAAGGCTATACGAGTTTGAATGCTTCAAAATTTAGCTATGTTATACTAGACATCATTGTAATAACTTTCATTAACAATTCAACTTCATCTAAACATTGCATCTAGATGAAAGAACATCTCTGCAGTCGGAGAACTAACGAAACTTGATATTCTTAGCATGAAAAATCTTCTTTCGAGGAAATACCAAAAGCAATAGGAAACTTGGCCAATCTGAGGTTGTTGGATTTGACTTCGAATACAAGTGTTAAGATAACTCCATCCAAAGTAATGTCTAGGTGGTCTAGGTTAGACGAACTACGCATGGAAAGTAGTTGTAGAGATAGGGGAGTAAAGTTGAAGGATCAAGAGAAAGAATTAATGCTGGTTTTGATGAGTTAACTTGTTTGTCGTACTTAAACATTTTGATAGTTCAAATTTTTTTATGCACAATGCATTCCTAAAGATGTTTGGTTCTGTCCGAATTGAAAAGTTATGCACATTTATCAAGGGTAAAGCAAGACCCTTATAACCGATGGAGGAGGCTAAAAAACCAACTGAACATTTTAGGATTGGTTCCCGTCCCAATTCTTGCCTTGGAAAAACTGAT